CTGTACATAAACTAATGCATATAAATTATACAGATCCAGAATCTTTCTCTTTTTACTTACACATATATTGGAATTTTTAATCTAAAAAGCATGAGCAATTGCCTTAGTTCTCCATTTTTATGTGCTTCATAGATCAACTTTAAATTTCTCTCTTTTAAATTAACTTTGCTTGCTGTCCCCATAGACTAGCACTCCACAGCATATATTAAATATGTAAAAAAGGTGCTTTATAATGCATTATCTTCACCAAAGTAAATTAAGGCTCTCTTTCAAAGAAAAAGAATGTCTGTGTAGAATGTTAATAAGTTAAATGTTTATTTTTATGGCAACCGTATCTATTATAAATAATAATGGTTCTTAAAAAAAAAAAGAAGGGAAAAAAGCAGCAGAACAAAGCAATAGTCTATAAAATAAAACCTGAGCAGGTGCAGAGAAATACAGTATTTAGAGTAGAGTAATGGTAACTTCTACCTTTGGGTATTTGTCATTTGTATATTTAGAATTAGTGTGGTGAACAGTAGGAGATTAATTTATACAAGGAAAGCCAAACTGGAAGTAAAGGCCTTTCTAAAGGAAATGTATCTTGTGTGGGGACTATCTATCATCTTGTGTCCTGAGATTGGTTCTAACAGGGGGCCATATTAGTATGCAGGCACTTAACGTTTTATTCCTTTTCCAGTTTTTGTTCTTGGAATGAGGTATCCCCATGAAACTCATTAAACCTCCTATTTCTGCAGCTGACACTCCACTCAGGCATGAATAATCTAAGGGGCAAACAGAAAGTTGATATAAATATGCAAAGATTTTTGATGAAACATAAAATAATAGGTAACCAAAGAACTGAAAGTGATTCACTGGCACAAACACACACACAAATTTATCACTTTTATTAATGTTTAGTTATGAGAAACTCTAATCAAATTTTAAATTCTTGTTGAAACGTATGTTAGAACTCCTTAAAAAATTGTCAAGTGCTCAGGCAGATATGTTAGTAGTAGTATGAATATTTAAAGCATGAGGATGAGAAAATTCAAATAAATAACTATAAATTCTTTTTCCTTGATCATCTTTAAGATAGTGTCTTCATACAAGGTAACAATAGGGGGAAGGAAGCATTATTTAATATATTTTTGGGGGGATATTGGCTTACTGCTCTGGAAGAAATAGGCTAGGATTCACAAATCATGTAAGCTCAGAAAATAGTTCACTTTGAACAAGTAATTGTAAACAAACTGAAAGAACAAAAAGCTTTGCAAAACGACTGCTCACAACAATTAACATTCATCAGCTTGGCCCAAATTAATGTTTGATGATACTCACAGGGAAGTAGAAATCATACTTTACTGGTGATAGGGTCAATCTGAAAATTTCCATAGGAGAATATTTTTGCAATAGCTAGTGAGTATGAAAATGTGCATACTCTTTATCCCAGTATCTCTGCTTCTAGGTGCTACCATAGAGAAGCAAGTGCTCAGGCGCACAGGGATGCCAGCTGTGGCATTGTTCATGTTAGTGAAAATTGGTTTCAATGTGGTTATTGATCTACAAAAATAAATCATTAGAACCATACCTCACATTACATCTAAGATCTAATTCACATGGGTAAAAGACTCTAATGTAAAAGCAAACCTTTATAAAACATTAAAGAATGTATAGAACATTTATTTTTCTTACTGGGGTAGGAGAGAAAAGAAAGCATAAAAACATTATGCCACAAACCACGTATGAAAACTTACTGAAATACAGACTATATTAAAATTACAAGTTGTGTTTTGAAAAGAGATACTGTAAACTAAAAAGATATATCTAAAACTTAAAAAAAGATAACTTAAAATGCATATAAA